CTGCTAGGAGCTGGCTTGGCTGCTTAGATACACTGTAAGATCATCCCAGAGCACCAAGATGGAGAAAAACACAGCTCCCCGGCAGAAAATTGTGACAGGGAGGGCCAGTTTGTGCATCATGCAGGGGTCAGGCATGCCAAGTACAGTAGGTCCCACACTGGTTGTCCTGGCAGGCCAAAAAAAGCCTCCATGCTTCAAGGAATACCATCCCTGGGCAACATGTGGTAAAACCCTGAGTCTCTTGGCCCCCAGAGCAGACATCACCGTTTGGCACTTGTTTGTGCATTTAGCTACACTTCTCCATAGCAACCACCCAGATCCCAGCTTGGCTTGCCACCAGCCAGGAGTAGGGTGAGCAGAGCACGTCACAGGCACCACTGTCAGAGTCTTGTTAGTGCACGCACAGGCCGGGTGCTGGCTCCCCATCTGTTGTCCTGAGGTGGAGACCCACACTGGCATGGCACGATGCCATTGGCAGAAGGCCTGAACCTGCATGGGGAGCTGGGTGCTCTCTTCCCTGCAGGTTTGGATGCTTGCATATGGTTTGATGAAGCTGAAGAATGGACACCAACCCCTGCCACAGGGCTCTAGACGTTGTCCTTTGACCCAAAACTTCTGTTCTTGCCTGGCATGTTTTTTGCTTGCCACTTTTTTTTGTCATTCCATGCCCTCCTGTAGCCTTTCAAGTCATTGCCATGACCAACTCTTGTCTGCTGATGTCCCCAGCAAAGCTGCCTCACTCTTTTTTAAGTTTAGCTGTTGGTATTTTCCCTTTTTCTGCCTCCTCCATGCCAGCAACAGAAAGCAGCATGGACTGCATGCACAGATTCCCATCTGCCCTCCCCACTGGGGCTCCTGCTCACCCCAAGATCCTTAGAGTTTTGCTTTTAAGAGTTTTGGCTCATTCTGGGTTTGGCTTCACTTTACGTGAATGTCCTCATTTACGTGTTTGTCTGGTGTCTGAATACAGTTGCAGGCACTTCATCTCAGAAAGGTTGAAAGAATGGAAGAAGGTTTGGAGGCAGGCAGTAAGATGCTCAGAGACAAGGAAAGACTATACAATGAACAACCATGTTGACTAGGACTCTCCAGCTTGGAAGGACACAGGGTGCAAGAAGAGGTCTATAAAATCACGAGTGACCCAGATAGGATGGGGAGAATTGACTGTTGGCTATGTCTTCTCACACAAACCTGTCAGTTGCTTTTGCCTTGACTGGTGCCTGAAAAGAATGTGAAAACACTGTGCTGCAGATGTTATGTCCAAAGGTTTAGGGTGGTTTTTAGCTCACGTTTCTTGCAACACTGGGGGCTAAGTTCACGGCAAGCCTTTGAGAGGCACACTTAAGAGAGTGCTGCCTCAGGCACATTCTGTAACCATGTTTTCACATGGAGAGCTCAGCCATGGCCAAGTGGAGCTTTTCCAAACTGTTCAACAGAGAAATATTCAGAGCAGGGTGGAGAATGAGCTGGACAAATGCCAGCCTAGAGAGAGTCCTGCAGAAGGCTGCACCGTGCAGGATCCCTCTTGCAGGGGAAACGGCTTGTGACCCAGACTCTAATTTTGCTGCTGCATTGCCAAACCCACAGCAGCCTGCGAGGGTGAATGATACGGCCTCTTGGGCTGGCTGCCCTGTTCTAGAGAAGAAACCCCTTTCCTCTCTCTGCCCTGGAGAGTAAGGGGAATTGAGATGGTCTTACTTTTTCTAGGACCACAAGAGGGCAACATGAGAGCATCCTGCAGCCAGCAGACTCGGCAGTGACCTGTGGCGCTGCTGGGATGCAAGCTGCGCAAGCAGCTCTGTGCAGGCTGAGCATCTGAAAGCTGCTCCGAAGGAGCCCTTTCCTTGCTTTCAGCTTCACACATCCTCAGAGGCGAGCAGTTAGCAAAGCCAGCTGAGCTAGTGCCATGGTTGGGGGCAGTTATATTTTCCCACACATGGTTGGACACGTGGTGACAGCAAACCCTTCATGCTGCATGGGGCCAGACTGTGGGATGCAGGGTGGCTTCCCTCATTCTGCCTGCACGTCCACCAGGAAATCTTTTGGGTGAATGTGCATGGGCACGTGGCTTCAAGCAGGAAGGTCCAACACCTAGAGTGATGCTGCGTGGCCTGGCCAGGGGAAGAGGGGTTAAACCACACAGGACTTTGAACATCTCAGCCTCACCATCCTTTTTCATTTCCACCACCAAAAGGTAAAAAATTAGAGAATCTGAGTTCAGCTTTGATTGCGAATATGGAACTGGCCAATTTCTTCAGCCCACGCTGGCCTCTACAGACTGAAATCACTTGTGCACTACAATTACTGGCACTTTTTTTGCATTAGCCTGTATAAATACCCTGCGAGGGACAGTTAGCTCTGCCTTTCCAAGAACAGGAATGACACAGAAACAGTTTCTGTTAGCAGGCAGAGCTACAAGAGTGCGTGTGTGCTACTAGGGCTGAAAATGCCACTAGCACCTTGAAGAAGAGACAGGAGGAGGTGAGGGATGAAATGCAGAATATTGCCTGTGCCGTGGGGTGGTTGAGGTGGCTCACAAAAGGTGTTTGCAAAAGAGAAGAAACAAGGGGATGTCTGCGGGACACTTTTTGGACAGGCTTGAGACATTCAGAGAGCCAGTGCAACAGAGAACTGTATGGGGGAGACTGGGATAACCAGCCAAAGAAAAAAAATTGCTGGGGCACATGGGTGGGACTGTTTATCCCTCTGGAGTTATTTTCTATGAAGAACGCTAGAAAGGCTTTGACTCCTTAAGATATTTTTACCATGGAAATAATCAGCTCTGTTTTTGCTCTTACTTGCATTCCAAACCTGCCCACACAGCCTAAGGAGCATTTTAAGGCTCAGCCTGTAGTGTCCAAACTGTAGTTCCCCACCTCTCTGAACTATGGATCACGTCTTTCCTAACAAAATTACAACTCACATGGCTTGTGCTGCACTGCACAGCAACACTGCTGGCAGCAAGCACCTGCACTTCCCTGTTGCACACTGATAGGACCAAGATTCATGGTATTTGTCTCAAAGGAACATCAAATCACCTGTCTTGCACTCCTACTCATCACCAATTGTCAGACCTCACCTAGCTGCTCCTGTGCTCAGACTAACAGCTTGTGCTAACTAGAGCAGACCCTTCAGCGAGCCGTCTGGTTTGGGTCTGAAGACATAAGGAGATGGGATAATCCTTGGCTTTTGCCAGTGTGTATCATTCCAGCCTGTCTGACTACAAAGTATCTAAAGCAGCTACCAGATAGTCCCATCTGCACGTCAAGATAAATGTGACATCAGCCAAGAGATGACCTTGAACCGCCACCTCCCAGTGCTGTCTTCCTACTCGTGATGCTGCCACACAGAGATAGCTGTGCTATGTGTGGGACAAACTATGTTCAGAGCTGGTCACAGCACCGACTGCTTTAAAACTGACCTCCTCCTAATTCAGGGCCTACAGACAGCAGGCATCCTTACCTGAGGGCAAAGTGTGGCACCTGCACCCAGAGGACCAGTGCCAGGGTTCACATGCCCAACTTGTGAGTGCAGCAGTCAAAGGCCAGGGCCTGGATTCATTCTCCCTGGTATGCACTAATGTCTGCACTCACATGGGCTGTAGCAACTGAGTCCAGGAGTACAGTGAGCAAAGATCTCCAAGATGGAGCAAATGGAGGTGGAAAGCTCAGCAGCTACAGACATACTGCCCAGGAACTGCAGCCCAGGCACATTTTGTTGTGAATGACTTCACAATTTGCTTGGGGATTAAATACTTCCTCGTTTAATAACCTAATAATTTGGGCTAGTTTCATGGTGGACGGTTGGAAAGTTCACTGGCTGAAGTCATCAGCCAGGCCCTGTGTAAATGGCTTCCCCCAGCTCACAGCCAAGAGAGCTGTCCTCATCTTTGGGTCCCCCGGTGGGTGGCTCTTGGCACTACCTTCTTCTGAAGGGCTTTGCTGTTCGTTCGTGAGCCTGAGGATTTACGCTCTGTGGGCTTCCTCACCACATCTTGTTTGAGCTGGAAATGCACCTGGAGATAGAACAAAAATCACTGTGTTACACCGTATGTTCTTTCTGCTGGCTCAGGGGTCTGCAGGACCTGCCGCTGCTCCTAGCCTTCTTAAGCTGAGTTTTGGGCCAAGAGAAGCAATAAGGGGCCTCAGCCAGTATTATGATACAATGGGAACTCAGTTCTTAAATCAGCTGAAAACGTTCTTTTTTTTTTCTGTGGAAAATGTTGTACCAAAAATCATCTACATTTCTTATGCAGACAGTTGCTTCTGAGGCAATACAAAGTCCTAGGATGGTTTGGAAGATGAGCTGTGAAAGGCAAGGGACTGAGCTGTTGCTTTTCCTCATCTCTCACCAGAGTAGAGAAATAGAGAAATATTTAATACACAGGACGGTTTAGGACAGACAGTCCTTCTCCAGTTGCATCTCATTAGCTGAATCCTGCTTAATCAGTCTTTCAGCAAGCAGTGCCTCCAGTAGATCCAGGCAAAAAATTGCCAGGAAAGAAACCTCCATCCACTGCAGCCATGCAAGCAGGTATAAGAGGGAGAAGGGGACAAGCAGTGTGCAGGACACAGCATCAGATAAACAGGGAATAGGGAGGCCATACAGGAAGGTGAAACAAATGGGGCTCTGTGGGCTGCCTGAGGGAGGTATGGGGTGAACGGTGGGTATGGGAGGTTCTGCAGGGGCAGAGGGAAATGGGGACAGGAAAACTGCTCTGAAGGGAGATCCACAAAAATCAGACCGTCAGGAAACAAATCAGTCTTTTACAGTAACATGGTAAAGTGACAATGTATTTTAAAAAGGACAGGCAAAGAGCTGAGTGCTTAACCTAGCAAAACAAAGAGTAGGACTGGGCTGGACAGCTCTCTATAAATACATCAGGGAATAAATACCAGGGAAGAAAAGCTATTTAAAGCACAACATTGGCATAAGAACAAATAGGGATAAACTGACCATAACTAAATTTAGGATGAAAATTAGAAGGTTTCTAATCCTGAGAAAAGGGCAGCTCTGGAAGAACTTCAGAGGCTGGGTAGGGTGGGATGGACAGAGGGTGGGAGAACTACCACAGTGTATTTAGAGCAGAGCCTGACCAGTGTACGTGCAGTGAAGCAAACGATGTGTCAGGATGCTGTAGCCAGGGGCTTCTTGCTGGTCCTTAGAGGAGACTGCATCTACAGTCCCACCATGTTCACAAGGCAAACGCAGAAGCAAGAATCACCTCCCACTGTTTTTATAAACAATTTCTAGTCATCCAGTCTGCCCTCAGAAAGACACAGTAGGGGCCACAATGGTGTCAAGAACACCTCACCTCCCAAAGGTACTTGGCTATTCTTTGTTGCCACCCAGTTTCCACCTGTCTTGGGTGTTCCCCAAGAAAGAAAGGCAGACTTCAGCCTCCTGCTACAAGCCTGATAACATGTTTGGTCCCAGGCATGATGCAGACAACAGCAGAGCACTGAAATCCACAAAGCCAGGGGCATAACAGAGTCTCATGGAACAGATGCTGTCTCCACATCATCATGTCCTTGAGTGGCTGAGGATGGAGGGAAAGCTAAAAGCAGCCCCAGGGGCTCTCCCCACGGCCACAAGGCAGAGGGACACAGGAGCTGACAAGGCAGCCCAGTGCAGCTGCGAGCCCTCAGTAAGGAAGCAAGAGGCACATGGCTTTACCTTCAGCCTGACCCTCTCTGTGAGCTGCGGGGACCACTGTGTCTGCCAAAGCAGACAGCCTGTAGCCACTGGCAGTACTCTGTGTCCCATCTCCTTTCTCTGCTGCTCACCAGACATCCCCTGCTGCATTTCTTTCTCCCTGGCATGAAGGCATTTTGAGATACCCTCGTGACTACGCAGCTTGACTCACCAATGAAGGTGCAGCTGGGCCCACTGTCGTTGTCACCGTCTGGGGCTGGTACCCCTCTGCAGAGGCTGTGACAGTGTAAGTGCCAGGCAGCAGCAGCCGGAAATAGTCCCCTGTATCACCTGGAACACAAGGTGGGAAAAGAAAGCACTGAGGATGCACAGGGAGCAGAGCAAAAGATATTCCAGTAGGTCTTGCCGAGTGTACTTTCTCGAGGATGTGTAGCCTTCAAAGCCCAGGTGGAATTTTTGCCTTCCTTCCAAATCTGCTGGCTACTGCAGGGCTGGATTCACATTGGTATGTTGCAAGTGATGATGTCTCATTAGTGCCATGGAGTAGAGGTCATTCTGCAAATAAACGCCAAATGAAAGAGGACAGTACAGCAGCATGGGCTGTGCCTGTGCAGGGAGGCTGCAAATCTGAGCATATTCCCGTCACAATTTTGCCATGTTTGGGCTGTCAGCAGGGTTTTAATGGCTCATCAGCTCAGCTGCTCCCTGATTCTCCTGGCATAAGGAAGCCCTGGGAGCACTTTGATGGACTGTGTACCGGTGTAGTTAGGGACAGGGGATAGGCAACAGTGAGGCAGCAGCACATCATGGATTACTTCAACAATTAGAGTATATTCCCATCTATGGAACTGGATGGGCATTGCCAATTTGAGTAATCATTACAGGCAGCATGTGTTATTTTGGTTTAGGCGGGGCTAATTGGTACGAGCGAGATACACAAGCCAGGCACTTCCATGGGAATACAGGGAGGGTGGCCATCAGGTCAAAGGGAATAATGTTCTCCCCCTGTTCAGTCCCAGGGAGGCTCCACTTGGATATTGTGTCCAGTTTTGGTGCCTTCAGATCAAGAGAGATCTGGGAAAACCAGAGCTCCTGACCCACAGGGAACGCTCACACCCTAAAAGAAGAGCTGAGGGAGCCGGGCGGGCTCAGTCTGGCTGGGAGAAGACAGAGGGGAATCTGCTCACAGTTGGCAGCTACCCGCAGAGCAGCTGCAAAGGTCATGGAGCCAAACTCCTCTCAGCAGTGCCAGGAAATACAAGGAAGGGCAGCGGCCATAGATGGCAGCTTGGGAGCTTCAGGGTGGATCACAGCTTCACTGTGAAGGTGGTGCAGGCCTAGCACAGGTCAGCAGAGAGGCTGTGGAATTTCCATCCTTCGGGATCAGTGAGAATTGGCTGGAAGGAGCGTTAGCTGATCAGAGCCAATGTTGGGGACAATTCTGCTTCAAGCATGAGGTTGTACAGGAGACCTCAGAAGGCCCTTTGCAGCCAGTGCCTCTCTGATCTCTTGCACACTCCCCTCTCCTATGCCAAATATTAGAGTGTTACTGAGTCTTAGACCTATGCCCTGAAGGAGTTTTGATTTCACAATCTGACCTCTGAAGAGCAGGAATATCGTCTGTTTTCTGCATTTAGCCTATAATATCTTTTCTGGTTGGAGAAGGGTGTTTATGAAGAGGAGGCTAAGATCAGCCAGCAAGAGAGAAACCACCACAGCTTGGATAAACCAAAGTGGCACTTCATTCTCAGTCTAAATTTGTCTGGCTTGAAATTTCAGTCTTTCATCTTGTTCTGCCATTGCGTCCTTTGCTATCAGCTATTTCGGTTCTGTGTCGATACTTAGATGCTTGACTAAATTATTGCCTCAATCTTCTCTTTGTTTATATACAAATGTGTTTTGTCCTCTCTCAGGCAAAATAGGAGCTGACTTTCTTAAGTCCTTTACAACAAGGTTTTCATTCCAGTTCTCTTGCTTTCCTAAGCTTTCTTAAGCTTTTCCTGGTCCAGGATGCACAGGCACATTTCTCACAGCTAATGTTTTGGGGAAGAAAACCATGCTGGCCACACATATTATAGACTCGCCTGCTAACCTCCCACATACCCAGGTAGCCTCTGAGAGGCTGCATCCAAAAGAGACAGCATGCAAGAGGACCGATAACCCACCAGAGGTGATGTCATGGCTGATTCCCTGGACAGAAATCACTGCTCCTGCAATACCGTTGTTGTTCTTGTCTGACACCATCCCTTTGATGCCCTGATGAACCTGCATGGAGGAAGACAGACTGCTGAGGCAAGGACCCTCTGCTCATGAGGGTATTGCTGAGCGCTGGAGGAGGGCAGAGGTCTGGGGACGATCCCACCTTTCCCTGTACCCTTAGCTCTCCTGGTTCTCCACAGCAGAGCCAGTCTAGGACACAACAGACTCCCTAGATGCTTCCAACTACAGTACGCAAGTGAGCTCCATGACCATCTCCTTTCTTCCCCTAGTGCCTGCTGGTCACTTACCATCAGAGCCCATGGGACCCTGCAGGAGAAGGGTGTAGGGCTCAGAACTGTCCCCTTACCTCTTCAATGAAAGCAACAAGGGCCTCTCGGTTGGCCATCCATTGCCGCTCCAGGTCCTCCTCAGGGGGGAACTTATTGCAACTCAGCTCCAAGGTGATTTCAAAGCAGTTGGTGTAGAGGTAATTGAAGTCCTGCATGCCTGGAAAAGAAGAGGCTGTGTCCAGGGCAACAAAAGACCCCCTTTCCTCCCTACTCTGTGTCCCAAGGTGACATGGTCACCGTCTGTCCTCTACCAGAACTGTCTCGCTCTCCCTCTTCACTCGCAGGTGCAGCCACCTCCATCCATGACAGCACAACTTCGCCCCCCATGCAGCTCTATCCTCTTGTGGCTGCCCCACTCTCTCCTTCAGCTGGATCATTAATGTTTCCTTCCTCCAGCACTACACAGCAGGTCTCTGCAGACCTCAGCGATTTCTGTGGCTCCTGCCCAAGCCACTTCCAGGCTTCCCAAACCATTTCCTAGTCTGAGACGCAGACACCAGCATGGTGTCTAGTAAGGGGCACAGTGCTATCGCCACAGCCCTTCCCCAAACCATCCTGCCCTGATGTTTCTTGTCTATCCCTTCACCTCTCTTCAGCTCAATACCTTGCTGTGGGTGGTGTTCACCTGTGCAGCCCTTACCTTTGCTGAGTGAGTACCAGGATGCCCCATTTGTGATGCCATCAGCAAAGTAGTCCCCACAGTTCCAGCCACGGTGCATCCAGCTGTGGGCATACGAGTAGGTCTTGGCCAGCTGGAGGGAGAGCAGGCAGTGGTCACCACTTCAGTACTGTGCAGCTGGGGACCCTGCCCTGTTCTGCACAAAACAGCCTCCCTCCCACACTGGCGTTGCTGGGGAGTGTGAGAAGGAAGTCAGATAGGAGAGCTCCTGCATATTACTGCTCTGAAATACAACACAAGGTGGCCAGGACTTCTAAGAAACATAGGCAGATGAAGATGGAGGAGGAAGAGCAGAAATCTGGGAAGCCGGAGGCTTGCTGACGGCACAAGTGGCTTGTGTCCTGATCCAGCTGAGATGAGGGGGAGCAGAGGGCACTGGGCTCATGCAGGGGCACCCAGCCCAAACAATGCTGGGCCCTGCATAGCAAATGGCACTAACAGGGGGAGAAGATATGTGAGGAAAACTAATCAGTATCACTCCTGATGCAAATACCATATATATCAAGGGAATGTGGATTAGGACAGAGTTTGGGCAATTCCTGGTTCTAGCAACTGCTTGTTTATTGCCCTTATTAAGATTACTGCTTATTTTTAGGCATGAAGGCAGGGCTAAAATTTGGCCACTGCATCCAAAGCCTGTGCTTTGCGTAAGACACACTTTAAGAGAGATTGGTGTTTTCATTTTCTAATGGAAACTCTATACCCTTGTATTATGGTTCAGATGCTGGTGTGATCAAGTTCTGTCGGCAGAAAAACAGTTACTTCACTACATTTCTGTCTTCTGAGGCTGTGGGTATCATTAGCCTACACCCCAGCCTCTCCACATCTGGGTCCAAGCACAGCCCTGATTCCAGCAGGTCCTGGCAAACTCCTGCACAGCCTCTGCTTCCAGAGAAGGCTGAACTCCAGCTCAAACTTATTTTTCTCATTAACTGTTCCAACACAGACTTGCTTTTTCTTGTGCTGGGTATTTCCTAATGGAAGCAGTGACTGAAGGCACTGTTGTCTGGGACATCTTAACAATGGAGAAAACCCACAAGCTTCAGCTAGTACTAGCAGGATCAGCAGCATGGACCAACGCATTCCCTGATGCCTGTCTACACTTCTCATGCTCTTTTTTTTTATTTTATTACTTATTCTTCACCATCCACATGTCCCTGATGGGCACCTGGCCTCCCTTATTGTGCTCTCAGCTCTCAGCAGACCCCCAGCCAGACCCTGCCACCTCTCTAGGAAAAATATCCACATACATGCTATGATGGTGCAGGCTCCAGCTCTGGAAGAGCAGGGTGGTACTGAAGAGACTGGTGGTACTGGATTATGGAGAACCCACGCATGTCACGGACAAGGAAGGAGCTCCTGAGGGTTAAGACTGGCCTGTGTGGTGGGACCAGCTCACGGTGGGACCGCCCTGACCTGGCTCACAAGCTGGTGGTTGGCAGAAATGCTGTAGTCTGCTAGTGGTTATTTATTTCCAACACATTTCTTGGCTCAGCATCTCAGTGAGGCAGAGACCAGAGACTCCCAGACGGCTCTCGCACGCTGCTGGGGCTGTGCTCACCTTCTGAAACAACTTGTCATCAGGGGTAGGTGTGTTGACTGTGCGCCGGTGGCTCCGGAACCGCTGGTCCTGAGACTTGTCATAGGGGTAATTTGCCACCACCGCTCCACCGTGCAGATTGGCCGAGAGCACAAAGTTGTAGCTGCTGATCCACTGGATCACAGCCAATGTCTCCGGTTCCACCTGTGAGGGGAAGAGGGATGGGGAAAGGGAGAAGAGCTCAGCCACCTCTGGTCCAGCTGCTGCTCCAGGCTGGTCTGTGATGTGTTCGTGTCAGATCGTGCCCAGCAGTGTGCCTGCTTCAGCTCTTGCAGCTTCCTCTGCTCTCCACCACTTGCCCTGATAGGCAGAGCAGGCTCCTCCTGTGCACACCCTGCTACAGCTCTCCCAGTACAGCCCCAAAAACTGAGGCACAGGCATTAGCCAGCCTGTGCCACCTCCTCTGCACTTTGCATTGCAATCTCCTCCTGAAGCTGGCCATGGTGCCAGCCTCTCCTCCTGGCAGAGCTGTGATACGGGACAGGATTACATCATTTCTCTGCATGCAGAAGGCATGGAGGAGAAAAACATTGTGCGAGGAAAAGGACAGTACATTTGCTTGCGTGTTGAGCCACTCTAAGAGGATGCTGTAGCCCCTGCAGAATCCCAAACCAGTACCTGGCTTTTCCAGTTGTCAGGCAGTGGGATGTGGTGATTTGGCCCACTGATTTCCCCACTGTAGTACATGAATGTGTTGAGGTCAGGGAAGTTGCGGTTCAAGTCCACTCCATTGGCGTTGTTCCTCCCCGTCAAGTACCCGTTGCTGTCTGGGCCCTGCAGGCAAAGGTGCATGGTGGGGGTGAATACAGGGTGGGTGCAGGCAGGCTGGGTGTCAGTGCAGCAGGGACCAGCCGTCACAATGGTGCTTCGCTGCCTCTGAGTCGCAACATGCACGTTACTGCTGGCAGAAAAATAAAGAGCATTGATACTGACAGGGGAAGTCAGTACCAATATCTTCATTTTCCAGGGTGATAGAGCAAGGCGCAAGCCAAGTAACACAACTAAAAGAGCCATGAATAAAATATCTCTGAGGTCTAGTGGTGAAAAGGAAGGGGTGAGATTTGGGGGTAGATAACTAGAGGGCTTCACCCCCACCCCATCTCCCCGCACCCTATCCCTCATGTCCCTGTCTACTCATGACAGTAGCATTCAGCTACCACTTCCCCAGCATGGGGCAGGGGATTTGCAGTGACCCTCCTGTGATAGGTAACTTCTTGGGAGGGTAAGACATGTGTAGGAGGCCTTGTCCATTGCCTGCCAGGGCCACCTGTGGCAGGACACACAGTGCAAGCCCTTGGCACAGGAGGTGAGAAGCACTGACACCAGCTGAGAGGGACAAATTTGGCAAGGCACGGAGGGGAAGGACGCCCCCATACCCACGGTGAAGGAGATCGCACAGGGATCTGAAGGGCTTTCTGCCCCTACCCGGCTGGAGGAGGCGATCGCTGCCTGGTACCTGCTTGGCAGCCACTTCGTACCCATCGGGGTTCATGGAGGGCATGATGTGGATGCGTGTGTCGTGGATGAGGCGGGTGATCCGCTCGTTGCCCCGGCGGTACTCCTCGCACAGGAACTCAGAGAGCTGCAGCAGCAGCTCACGGCCCAGCACCTCGTTCCCATGCATGTTCCCAACATACTTGAACTCTGGTTCCACTGGAGAGAGCAAGAGTGACACAGTCAGCCAGGGCTGGGATGGGGGAAGAGCCAATTCCTACTGCATGGAGCCCAGGCAAGCCCAAGGAACCTCCAGGAAATGGTGTGAAATGGTCCTTTCCCTCAGAAAATTCAAACTTCTGCGAGAGTGAGCGGCACAGTACTCATAAGGGCACCCTTCCCTTTTGCCACAGCATTCCTGGGAACAGCTCAGGCTCTCTACTGGGTTTCTGCTTGCCTTTGGAGTGCAGAAGGGGATGTATTTGCAAGTGGCTTGGTCTCGGGCTGGGGAGAGGCCACAGAGGGAGCATCAGCAGGACTGCTGCTGCCCCAAGCCCTGGGCTTCCAGAGCCTTCCAGCTCTGCATTGGAGGGGACAGGCCATTTCTCCCACCTCTGCCCTTCACGGTTTGCTCTCAGTGCCTCTCAACAGTATGGCACGTTCCTGGCTTTGTATGCTTTAAAGAGTTCTGCAGGATAAAATCAATCCCTGACTTGGGGCGAGCCATGTTCTTTCAGTGGAAGGTCACGGTCACCTCCAGCTGCTGCTGTCAGCCTCTGACTCCTGTGCTGGTGGGACACAGCAGCGGTTTCCTCTCTCCCTCCCCTTTACCTGCCTCTAAGGAAGGGCTTCCTCATCCTCAAGGGACAGTGACGAGAGCCTGGAGAAACCCTCAGCAGCTTAGTCGAATACGGACTGAACTGTCCCTCAGGCAGCTCAAGTATGAGCAAAAAGGTCTCTTGCCACTGACTTTTCAAAAATGAGGTCTTGAAATACAGACTTGGAGACCACAGGCAGACAGTGCCCAGAGCAGGGCTCACTGCGTTGCTGAAGGAGAGGCAGAACATGTGAGGGACAGGTTACGCTTTCCCAGAGGGTCTTTTAAAGCAGTTACTTGTGGGAAAATAAAATGTCCCATTGTAGGCTGGCGTCAGCACTGGTAGGATGAGAGACACCAAGGGAATTCAGTTAACAAGGGAGCCTGACTTTCACACGGAAGGGCCAGGATCAAATAGGGTGTTGTCACAAATGTGAGCTTGACAGAGCTTGAGACTCCCATTGTACCATGATTTTCCAGCTACTATCAGACTCGCAGTGACAGCATACGTATGGTGTCTGTCAGCATCCTTGAGGTAAATGGCACCACAGCCCCACATTGGGCATCTGCTGCTTCCAAAACACCCTGTGCCTTTGTCGCATAGGGAGGAAGCACTGCACCTAAACATGCTGAAGACAGATTCTAAAAAAACTTTCTAATTTTAGCAAAAGATTTTGCTTTTCTGTACCTTTTGATTGCTTTGCCTCAGCACCACCACAGGTGGGCAACAAATTTTGACCTAATTAGCTCTCAGAGACATGAGAACTGATTTAATTAGGTAATCCAGTTACAAAAACTATAAAAATATCCTGGGGATATGTGCAGTCTTTATTTAAAAAAATAAGGTCTCACCAAGGATTCTCCTTCTCTGCTTTGTTCAAGCCTACCACAGGGATTCTCAGCCTTTTTCAATATGCAAACCCCTAAACATTATCCACGTGGATATTTACTACATATAAAGCCCACTGACTCTAAGCTGGCTTTTCTGAGTTACTTTCTGTGGCCTTCAAGGGAGTCCACAGTTTCCCAAAGTCCTCATGCTACAAGCTGAAAAGTGCCAGCCTGAGGGTGGCCCACAATACAGGTAGAGCCACAGGTCCCTGCTGGCTCCCTGGGGCAGGCAAGATCTCAGTCACCTCTGACAGCCCTTCCAGCTGCTCTCCTGTGGTTCTGGAAGGCTAAAATCCAGTGGTGCATTGCCAGTGCCTTTTACTCACTCTTGACTTTGAATTAGCCTCCGCTGTGCTGTGGAGGTGCCCAAGGTGTCCTCAGCACCATGTAGGTTTCCCTGTACCAAACTGGGCTGGCATGGAGGTGGTCAGGGTGGGAAACCTCCCATCCTACCTCCCAGCACCCCTGAAGGTGATACTCTGGGCCGCAGGAGGGGAGCAGCGTTCCCCCAGTGCGGCGTGTCCCCGGGGTGCTGTGGGGTTTTGGAGGGCTGCCCCAGTGAGGGGAGCCCACGCAGGGGCCCCACTCGCCCCGGCAGCACTGCCGGCAGTTTTGCACGTGAATAGGCTGCCTGGGCTCGGCACCCCCCGCCTTTAACCACACCAGCCAGGATCTGGAAAGGCAAAAGCTCCTGCAAAAAGTAGGCAGAGCCCTGTCTGCATCCGCAGCCGAGGGGCACGCAGCGGGGAGGCGAGGGAGCCCGCATTGGCGGCTGGTCCTCTCAGCCCCTCGGGGCACCTGGCTGCCAGCAAGGCCTGGCTTGGCA